CTACAGACTAGAACTCTTGTCAAACATTGGCCTCTTTTTCATCATCTGCAGCATGGCTAATTTAAGAAAGGTGTTGACAGACTGACTCACTCTTTCAAGCTTTCATCTAATGCCCAAATCATCAATCTCTGCACCAGGTATTTTTTTGATAAATGCTGTGGTGGTCTCTACAAATGCAGGACTTAGAGGCAATGCACACAGAAAATTTCTTTCGGGTGCATTTCACTCTATAGAAATAAAATTGCTTCTGTCCTTTATACCTGATACAGAGTTTAAGATCCTCCAGAGAGATTAAAGGCAAGAAGAATTACTGGGTATTGCAGGACAGCAAATCCCAGGAATGACACCTGAGAGAGGAGTCTCCAGATGAACTTCAGCTGACTAATAAACCTCCAGACATAGTAAAAAATGAAAGAAAAGAAAGAGAGAGAGAAAGGGAGAAAAAAAAAAGTCAAAACTTAACCCAAACTAAATCTCAAACAGGCAGCTAAGGGGAATTGAGAAGGTAGTCCATGCCTAGCACTCTGAAACCAGGTGAATACTTGTGCGGGTAAGTTCACAGGATGAACACAAATACAGAAAATTATTAGAAGGAGAAGAAATGCTTATGCAACTAAGATACTAGGTGGAAACTCAAGACATCTATATTCGGTTCCCAGATATGTCACAAGCTCTGTGTGACGTATGACATTTAAGATTCACTTCAGCTGCATAAGCATCAGGACTCTAGAGTCATCTGAGACACTCAGTATTATCCCACCTGGACCCTAGCTGCTAATTATGAAGGGTCGGGCTGTCTCTGGTCCTCATTAATATCTGTCAGCCCTGCCTGGATCTCCTGTATTCCCAACAGCATCTCAGTTGGTACTAGATACCTATGTTTAAGCAACTGAATTGATCTGTTAAACATTATGTTAGTACATATTTTAAGGAAAAAAAAAAAGTGCTTCTTATCTCAAATGCATAAGCAGTTTTAAATTCCACCCTGCAGTCACTCTATGCCTCAGTTTCCCAACAGTGAAAAAGAGACAATTTAAAAAACACTTAGGCAATACTTAGATTCTCAGGCAATGCAAGCCATTTAAGTACTTGAAGGGGTAGAGGTGCATGTCTGTAAGTTTGCAGCAGCAATGAAAGTCTAGTGTTTAATGCCAATTCAGGTTATTAACTGTTACTAGTGAACAATATTTTGCAATGTCAAAAAATACAATAAAATGCTTCATATTTTTCTGTTAATTCATTTTGGTTGCCTAGTTCTTGTTTCTCTTATACAGTGTTTTTTAAATTTCTTAAAGAGATATTATCTTCATCAAATTGCAATATTAAGCAAGTGATAAAATTTCAGAATATCTTAAATGATTAGAACAACCTATAAATAGATAGTCATATGCAGTCCTTAATCAGAACTAGTTCCCACTGGGCAGTGATTTGATTGAACTGCTTTTATCTCTGTGAATCCAGAGTGGAGTCTTTGATGAAGCTCCAGAGTTGTAGAAAGCTGCATGCAAGGATCTAGTGACCTCGCACATTTGTCTATTTTCATCTGTTTCTCTACAATTTAACTTTTTTTCTCAGCATACTAAGTTATGTAGGCCTGCAAGTCTGCAGAAAGATTATAGCTCGTCCCAGGGATATCCATAAGATCTATGCATCAAAAAGATGTTCACTGATTCATTAGGTTTCCTTATTGTTTATATGTTGTTTATATACTGCAATTTATGACTGATCTAATTGTTTTCTTGGGCTTTAGAATTAGTTTAACTGCAAAATAGCCTTCGCGTTATGAAACTGCAGTATCATCTGCATCTTCAAATATAGAGTATCTCTGCACAAAGTCACTATAAATTTTTACATCTGAAGGACACTGCAGCCTATTACACAACAATTTATCAAGGTTAATAATGATTGCATATATATATACACATATTCAAGTATGATTCTACTCCTACAGGCACACATGAACCAAGTCTTGGGACTCAATCTGCCTTGGGCCTGCTAAATATTATGCAAGTGTCATTCCTTCACAACACTAATAGTAGGTAGAAACTGCACTTGCTGTGTGCGCAAATACGCTCTAAGTAGAACTAAAGTAGTTAATGAAAACACAGCTCATCTTTTAATCCTATGTTTCAACATATTTTTAAAACATATATATTGATGAATTATGGAAAAATATTTATCCTGTAAAGTTAATAGGAAACAGGCTGTTTCTTACTAAAAAGTCCACACACTTCAGGTAACATAAACAAATATTCCTAATTCTAAACACAGTCCAGTGAATAGCTTTCCTAATGCCCAAGGGGGACTAAACACAAGAGTTAATTTCTATGATCTAATGAATGATTAACCATGAAATCTTTTTATCTGAAAATCACCTTTTTATTAGAATGCTAATTTAATTAATAGAATTCTGCTGTTGAGAGTAGTATAAATAGGACCTATTTGTTCTCAGATGTATGTTATTCCATGGACATTAATTATACCATAGTGATATTCCCTCTCCTGTTCTGAACATCTAGTAAGACCTGTACTACTAAATCATACTTAATAGGAGTGTGATGGTTGTTGCTTAGGCAACAGAATGAATAAATGCAGGTCAGAATGTGCTTCCAGAAAAACAAAAGCAGTAATATGGTACAGAATGAAGAAAAAAAATGTCTAACTGATTTTTACTGCATTGAAGTATTAGAGTTCTTCAACGTAAAGTAGCTAACCTATCTGAAAAAATTAATAAGATTGTAAAATATAGCTTAATATGTAAACCACTTTAATAAAGGTAAAGCAGTTCTCTCACATTAAGGAAGACTACAACATACTCAAGTTTGGAATTATCTGATTTTTTCTCTTAGCATATCAGGTCTTACTTCTCTCATTTTCCTCTATACTTTCCAAGTTCAATTTTCTCTTTAACATTTTGTCTAAAATGGAAAATATTTTTAAAAACACTCATTTAAATTTTCAGGAGAGGCTTTCCTTACATAATGCTGACATATTCAGAAGAATAATATAAAAAGAAATTTGTGTTTTCTGATCATTTTTATTTCTAATAAAATATATGAACTATTCAATTTCTGGTACAAACAAAAACTGAAGTATGTACCAATATGATGAACAGTGTGAAATCTAATTTAGGAATTATTAAATTACTGAAATTAAACATTTTTTATTACTAGGCAACTTTCCAGCTTTTTGCTTAATCACTGGATTTAAGAGTCTAATCTGCCATTCACATATGCATGCTACCGCAACTAATATTAAGAGAAATTATGTATTTTACCTGCAATATATATTTAAAAACAAGCCACTTTAGAAGAGACTTAAATTAAAATGACCGGAAAACATTAGCTAGCAGACAATTATGCAAGCATAACTTAATCTGCCTGATACCTGAAAAGTTTGAATAACAGAATCTCATATATAATTTGTACGTTTACATAAGTATACTAATAAGAGCCACAGGAAATTAAAGTCTTATAAATTCCCCCAAAACATGATTCAGGCACCTCCACAGCCAGGGGATGGCTGGAAAGCCTTCCAAGGCAGTTTCTTTGGCTCCTCTGGTGCTCATCATTTACCTGTGGTAGGTGTACCCCTCTGAATTTGTTATGCCACCTACAGCCTCTTGTGAACAATTCTCTTCTGTAATCTCTTTAAGACTGCACAATCATCTATTTATGTAACTAACACCACAACATATATAAGAATATGTAGCTACATTTTGGGAAACTGTAGCTTGAAATGCAGTTTGGAATCTTTTTTACATAGCTTAGCTGACAGCACACCCTTGCAGCTTTGTTTTCAAGATAGTTAAAGATTCTAATGATTTTTACTGATATAAGCAAAAAATCACATGGCAGCCATGTAAAAACAGGAAGAAACCTCTACACTATTATAATGTGGAAATGGCAGAGATCTGTGTCTTAATTTTCCAATCAGTAATCCAAAGGCATATAATGATGTTGGCAAAAGAAACAGGAGAAGCACAACTCGTCATGATTTTATAGTCATAATATTAATGCTGTTTCACTTCTGTTTCTTATATGCTAGGTGTAAGTTATGAAAAGTTAGAACTGTTCTAAGACATACATGATTACTAAAAATATCTTTAGAAAGGGGTGATTTATAATATTTTAAGCTCTAATACTTTGTAAGAAATGTAGTCAGGATTTTTGCAAGAGGTTCAAGTAATGGGAATACTGAAGCAGGTGCAAAAGTGATTGTATAACAACCTCACAAGTAAGCTTCTCTCTTTACTGTCAACATACATTTCAGTGGAAAGTTTGTGCATGACAGGTCTCTGTTACTTTACACCACATGGTAATACTGTAAATCCTCAAGTACACAGAATTTTATTTCATTCATATGTTCCTGTTAAATGCCTAGAATTAAAACTTGAAAATGGAACTATTAAAAAGAATGCATTACTTTTCCACACAGGGCATAAGTTTCAACAAGTGAATCCTACAGCCTGATTATCTAAGATGCAAAAACATTTAACCAAGACATCCAGAATCACTTGCATAGAGAGCACACTTCATTAAATAATTTTCTGTTAATAAAATACCTCTCAGTGCAAGAATGGCATTGCATGTCATTTAATTATTATTACAATGATGTTAATGTTATAAAAGTAATAATGTGATGTATTGTAGATAGAGGTGTTTACAGATTTTTACATACTGTGAAAATCCTGCAATGGATTAAAAGAACTGAGCATCTTTCTTTTTTAATCTGAAGATCGATGAAGGGGAGAAAGAACCTTAATATTCGGTTTTTCTTTTATCATATTTCTGGCTAGAATATTTTGTAACGTGTATGGTTTGGAAGTTTATACAAGGACAGTTTATATATTAATTTAGCTAGACATAGAAAAGTGAATCACTGAACAGATCTTCTTAGTGCAATGCAGAATAGCTCTAAGGTTTTTATGAGCACATAAGAGACAGACAAAAAAGGCAGCTACAGTGTATATACACAGCTATGCACAGAAGATTTCTTACCATAAATTGCACATTGTCAAATCCATTAGCCAGCAAGTGGTTTTCATACTGAGGTAGCCCAATATTTTCCAACCATTGTCCCACTGTCTGGACAGGGCATCGGGGTCCTGTAGGAGGGTGAAGAGGGAGGCGTTTAAGCAACGAATAACCATCCACTGGATAATAGCGGTAGTCCTGGGCTGAGAGGTGGCATTGCCACATCGTGTTCCTGGGAAAGTTGGTATCAAAGGAGCCCGCCAGCTTGACAGATTAATGTTTTCAGCAAGCAGAAAAGTCAGAAGTAAAACATAGTTTACAGGGCAGTATATAGCGTAAGATCTGATCCTAGCTCTACATTTCTTAGTTATTAATCTTTACTACAGACCAGTACGTCATACAGTAGAAAAAAAAAAAAAAAAAAAGCATATCAAGCTGTCAGCTAAGCTGTTCTCCGTTATATGTGATTGTTGGAATACTCCACAATGAGCAATGCACTGCCAGCAGCAAGAATTCTTTTTATCAAGTACTCCTACACTCATCAGTATGCAGCTCCATGCTTCTTGCTCCCCCTCGCTCGCTCCCCTTCATTACCCAGCCTAGGCTACACCTCGCATTTTCAATAATAGCCATCAGATAAGGCAGATTTTTTTTTTTGTCTGCAAGCTGTAAGCCTGCTGCTGCTGCTTCCTCCTACACACCCATCCAAGCGTCAATCTTGAATGATGAGAGCAGTCAAAACAAATGCAGAAAATAGCAAGATTCAAAAGCAACCTAGAGCACTTAAATCTGAATAGAATCTTCATACCAGTTATGCTTTACATTTCTGGTTGTTGTAGATTTTTACATTTCACAAGACATTAAGAAATGCAATACATAAACCACAGCCTATGACATGGTTTACTATGCCTTCCCCTTTCCCCTTTTAATGCAAGAGAGCTAGTGGTCTGCATCTCTGCTTTTATAATAGTAAAACCCTTTAATGAATCCATAAAGACTACATTTCACAGTTTCTCTCCAATAGTACAGCAGAAGACATAAACGGCACAACAATTTTAGTCAAAGTAATTAGATTATCTGCATGATTTCTTCAACCGTAAAATATTGTAAGACAGAAGAAAACCTTTATGCCAACATATAATAATTCAACTTGAAAAGGTCACCATTTCAAACGAATAATTAAAAGAATAATTTTACAAAATAAAATCTTACATCCTTTTCTTACAAAAAATGTGAATGATAGCAGGCAGCATACAAGATTTGCATGATTTCTCGAGAGGATGTATATATTATCAACTATAACTGGAAAAGATTTAATAAAAGATGATGAATTTAAAATGAAAGCAAAGTTCATTTTCTGCACAACAAACCAAATACCCCACGATGTATTTCCCATCAATCTTCCATTTTTGAGACAGTTTTTCTCAAGATGTAAATATTCTGCATCTTTGTTCTGAGAGGAATGTTTACTAAAGTTTTGCTTTTTGTAACAGCATCAAAGGACTTAGCAAAAAAGGCAGAAAATGGGTATACTCAGGGTACAATTCTAAAAAGAATCATGTCCAGTGGAACTTCATTTATTGAACACATTAATTACTTCTCTTTGTTTTTCTTGTCCACTGTGAATCTCAAACAATGACCATCTCTAAGGAGGAATTTAATTCCAGGAACAAGGAAATTACAGATGTCTGTCAAGGGCATCATTTGGGATTGATGATACTATGGAAGAAAACTGTTTTATAGAAATCCAAACCTACCGACATTTTATAATACACAGTTTCTGCAAGTGACATGCAGAGGCTCCCTGAGCAGTCACAGAACAGATTCTAAACTTAGCTATTTAAAATTAACAATATTATAATAGTTTCGACTCCAGCCTGACTAGTCCTTGGACTAAAACCGGATGATCTTTCACTCTGATATTGCTGATTGGATTTGTGGAACTGAAGTCCATAATGTTTTTTTAGAGTAGTTTTAGTTGAGCCATAGAAGATCTTTGATGATGTTGGAAAGCTGCCTAAAACAGGTCTGTTATGGGATCTTACATTACTCCAGGTCTTCTTGTTGATTTGATATATTCCTACATGAAGTATGAAAGTTCATTAGGCCTCTCGAAAAAGTATTGAAGACTTATCAGGTGCTGGTAAATCTGTAATTGCTAAAGAAACTTTTAGGAGTTGTCTCAAGTATTTAATAACAATGGCATGTGAATATATGAAATATAGAGCATTTATTTTTGGTAAGAGTACAGTGTGCACAAATAGCTAAATGTACTTCAAGCAGATTAATAGACAATTCTTTTTTTAATAGGCAATTCTTTTTTTCTCAGAGAAATTAGAAAATTTCTCATAGAAATACCAAATTGATAGGAGTCTAGGTCTCATGGAGATACAAATGCATTTGTTCACACCCATGTGTAAATCTTTCCGATTTTGCAGTTTTTTCTACTGTGAATCAATATCTTTGTACACAGGTGGAGCATAATCCCTTTAGGATTGTGCCCAGTCAGTAGCAATACTGTAAGGAGAAGGGTAGGCTATGTTAAGTTGCAACGTAGCGGACTCCCTTTGGGCAAGCAAATTTGAAAAGCTGGGCAAACTCTTCAGATAACAAATTGAGAACAAAATTATCTTAAATAATATGAGAATTAAATCCTTGCTGATTTTTTGTTAGTTGACTGAGAAAGAAATCATTAATTTATTTGAAAAAGATTCCTGACTTTGTCTTCCCCTTTCTCCCAGCAGAAAAATTGATATTGAAAGGAGACCTAGTGAAGCATAATCCCACTCTTTGAAAGGATTAGGAATTACTGTTTCCTGTGTTTCCCATACATGCATAGACACAAATGTATCTGCATCTTGTGTCCCCCACCAACACAAATGTTCTGCCCACAGTAAGGCATAGCAATAATCAATATACCAGTTTCATGGTAAAACTGCTTCTTCCTTACCTTACTATAAACAGCATGGAAGTTATGCTGCCAGTGATGAGAAGTGCTTGGCTCAATGCCTAGCAACAGTGTAGGCAAAATTCAGTTTTTGAGTGGCTCCCCAGACACATTTCCTCATGAAGCTGTTGGTACTGTGTCTAACTATCTCTATGGCCCCAGCACTGGATGATTATAGCACTGCCGGTCCCACTGCGCACTCTCCTCCAACTCTGTCCTCTGCCAGTATAGCTACATGTCTGAACCCATCAACACAACATAAGGTTGCTCAGCAAGGGGAAAGAAAATAAGGAGAAACACAGTCAGATTGCCGCCTTGTCCTCATCGCTGACTATCATCTCATTGCTAAAGTATCCTATCATCTGCAAGACTTTTTTTTCCCTCCTTCTTCCGCCAAAGGTAGTAGTAGGCAGAGCCAGGAATGTGTGGATTAGGATCAAGTCTTTCTTTATAGAAACTCATAGCTCTTTAGATCTCCTTGTTCTTTGCCAGCCCAGGAGAGTTATCTTAGCAGAGCTGCTTGGACTGTTTTTCTGAGCCAGTGCAAGCAGAACCTGGAGCAGGTGCTATTATTTTGAGACTAGAAGGCTATCTCTTCATTTTGCTAGTTTATGATTCAGTGCCAGCCCCACCAGTGTGCTGCTGCAGGCAGTGCCTACTTCTCTATGCCTGAAGCTGGTTCTGGTATTGAAAAATGCCAGGCAGACTGTATGAGATGGTCTCATCTGCAACACGTTTACACACTACTGTGCTTTTCTATGATTTCAAAGAACGTAAATGCCATGATAAACCTTCTGTGATATCACAATCAAAAAAGATGTACCTATTTCTGCATGGGAAAACTGACACATAAGTCTCTTACAGGGATAGCAATACTTGGTTCTTTCTCCTCCAAGGCAACTGAAGAAGCACAGTGAAGTGATGTCTGCAAGAAAGATGCCATCTGGTATGCTATACGCTAATTTCTACAAGACGTCTCGTTCCCAATGAGACTCAGAATATCTTTGTTGTGGGGTTTGGAATTGACTGAATCTGTGATATCAGAGAGCACATGATTTTAAACATGTTGTAAAGCACATTTGCTCTAAACGTAAAAGAATTTAAGGTCTCCTCTATTTTATTATCTCTGCTGTTAACAATATGGGTTTTTCTTTCTTGATATTTTTTTTCTTTATTTTTCGAGTGAGGAAAGGAAAGAAATGCAGTGTTTATTTGTAGAGGAGGGGCTCTACAATAATCATCATTATTTGTAGATGTCATCATTAATAGATTATTATAAACCATTTTCTTAGGTAGGTCAATACCCGTCAAACATTGCTAAACAATTCTGGTGTTAAGGAATCAAAACCTGGAGAATTGTAGTAGCTACTGACCAAGAAATTTCTGAGTGGAGACTATACCACAATATGAAAGGATGAATCTTTAACTAAGTTGGCAGTTGGTTTAGCAGAGCTGGAGGGAAAAACTGATGCTAAAGTACTGTAAACCTTTTTTTTTTTTTTTTTTTTTTTTAATTAAAGCTTTCAGCCTTGTCCAACACAAAATGGTATATAATTTTCCTCTCTGTATTTATGATTTCAGCCGGATAAAAAAGTTACCTCTTGATATTGTGACAGAACTTGTGCTACAGCAGAGCTAGCGTGACTGGGTGTTCTAGTGAATAAACTAATCTAACCACATGTATTCCTGGATAAGAGATAAGAATAGCTAGGAACAGGATGTTGTATGAGAAAAACTATGCCTAACATCCATCAGACCAATATAATTAAAGAAAGTTTATTATAGGAGAAGTATAGTAGGTTCCAAGAATTGTATGCAAGGTTCTGCTTTATCTTACACATTTTATTTATGTTCTAAGGCTATTCAAAATGCTTAGATTTCCAATTTCATAAAACTCTAAAAAACCTGGATGCCTTACATAAAATCTTTAATTTCTGTCAGCAGCCTAGTTCTTTGCATGATGATGCCACTTTGGATGACAATCTTTGGTGATGCTGAATATTTTCCTGAAAGTACTTTTAGAGACATTTTTCATGGCATATACAGAAACAAAACAAAATCAATAGAAACAGCTTGAATTTAAATAACACTATCTGGTATCTACAATCTAAAGGTTACATTCCATTGCTTACGCGTGGCTCAGAACACTCAAAAATAATTCTTAGACCACAGCTAATGCAAGCT